TTTAAATTACTACAATAAAAAAGAAATTACTATGATTTTTTTTTTTAAAAAAAATAAGCTTCCAATCAATCTAGTATATGCTTAAGGGGTCTATTTCAGTGGGTTTAGGTCATTCTATGCTTATTTATAAATTGTGTGAATTAGCTGGGGTAGTAGGAAAGCAAGGGGAGGAGTAAGTTATGTATGCTTCTGCACTAACTAGATCAAAGATCTTTTCTTTCAATTCACCTTGTCAGAATGAGGATAGGGATCTATCCAACCAAACGTACCCATGTAGTAGTGGTGTAGAGATCATAGGAAGCTAGAAGATCAGGTGGCAAACCTCTAAGATAGAGTTGATTGGATAATGATTTCTATGGATTACTTCCGGCAATTGGCTATTAAGAGTGCTTCAAGCCATAATGAAGATGATTCGTAGGTAGGAGGGTACAAGTCATCTCAAATAAGTGTCAATATTTGTGTTGGGCTACAACATTTCATTCAGGGTATAAGGACAACTCAATGGATGACTGTTGTTATGATCTAAGAGAAAAAATTATAGATGATGGGAGGTGTATTCACCTCTACCGTCATATCATAATGTTCTTGTGTAAGTGTTAAAATAAATTTTCATTCGCTAATATAAAATGAATACATTTTTTGGATATTTCAACTTTATTATGCATAGAAAATAACTAACAAAATTTAGAGAAGTCATTAATAAAAAGAAAATAATATTTGAATCCATTAAAAGAAGCAACCAGATATAATCCCCAAGCTCTATTTGTACAAGTTTTAAAGGCTTGGAGGTATTCTTATGTTTCGTAATAAAAGGAATCTTGTGGCTTTTGGCCATGTTACAAGAGGTGTAGAGAAGTAAAATATTTGAACATAATGAAATTTCAAGTGGTTTTGTTGGTATTGAATGAATAGCTAAATGCTGATGACCAAACCGAGCATGCCACAATGTTGGAGAATGATGTTGAGTGGAGAGTGTCATAGGAGTCGAAGGAGAGTTAATGGAGTGTAGGGGATATAGTCCTCCATTAGTGTTGTGACATTGGAGGAGAGCTTAATTGTTTGAATGTTCCTTGATAGTGAATGCATTACCATCAAAAGAGACGAAGCAATTTTTATTAGAATTTAGTTTATTGATGGAGAGGATATTATGAGAGATTAATGGAACATAAAGAAGAATATGAAGAAGAAGCTTATAATTGGGAAGAGAAGTGGGTAAAAGGGATTGGATGTTGTTGTTTATGGGGAGTGAAATTCCATTGCCACCATAAGTGAGCAAGGAATAGTGTAAGGAGTGGGATGCTGGATATGATGAAGATCAATAGTTAAATGGGCAGCCACTATAGTCTAGGCCCCATGCTCAAGCAATATGAGGGTGCAACTAAGAGATGAGACTAGTAAAAGAAGGGGTGGGTAAGGTGTTATAATGCAGCTCGCAATGATAACAACATGTCAAATAGTGTGCTAATTTTGCTACAAATCTAATAAGTGTGAAGTGTTATACTGTAGCTCACAATGATACCAACATGTCACAATAGAATTGATTTAGCCAAAAATTTGACAAATGGGTCAAAGACCAATGCTAGGGTGTTGATTAATGAGTGGACCGAATTGTGCATAAAGAACAAGTAGCTGTTGGAAGGAGAAGGAGAGGTGTGGTAAAGCTAATGGATCTCTGATGCAGTGTTTATAGCTGAAACCTGCCACAACCTAGAAGAAAAAAAATCAAAAGTGTATAGGAAGAGATTATAGAAATTGGGAGAGGAGTAGGGGTGTCAATTTTGGGTCACAGTTTGGGTTTGGGTCGAACCCGAAACTGACTCGACAATATTCAGGTCAACCCGAACCCGACCCATTTTTACAAACTGGTCAAATTTTTGGACCCGAATCCGACCCGCTTCGGGTCCATGTCAACCCGACCCGACCCGAATGAACTGGGACAGAAAAAAAATTGATAGTTTTTTGGTCCAAAAATGGGTCAATCACTACTTTTTGGGTCAAAAATGGGACAATCTCGGGGTTGCCCGGTCAAAAATGGGTTTTCCGGTCAAAATAGGTCAATTTTGGGTCAACCCAAACCAGATCTGATTTTTGAAATGGGACAAATTGTTGAACCCGAGCCCGACCCGTTTCGGGTTCAGGTCAACCCAAACCTGATATTTTCAGGTCGGGTTCTGGTCGGGTTTTCGGGACGGGTCCAATATTGACACCCCTAGAGAGCAGTATCATATACATAGAATACCAACTCTTACATGGTGTAGCACAAATGTATTATAAGGACAATAGACAAACTATATAATTAAGCAAAGCGTAATTAGTGGCCAACGACGGTGAATTATGAAAACTAAATGGTTGTTCTACATAGGTGGAGCTGATATATTAGTGTTGAGCAGGTTGAGTTCTTATCAGTATAGTGATTATAAAGAGATGGTTATCACAACCCTCAAATTTATTTGAGGCTTTTTTTCTCACACTATGTAACACCCCACTATACCTCTTACTTGTAACTTAGAGTGTCACAGAAATAACATAACATTTATTCTTTACTTTTACTTATTTATCATCAATTGTAAACTTACATAAAACATTCATTGACAATCACATTTATATAATAAATGGAAACCTCTAATTAATCCAAATTTCAACACATAATATTTACAGAGTTAATAAAAAAATCCAAAATAGTACAACATTGAACACTCTACATATCTCAATTGTAGACTTATAAACAATGCTAAATAATAAAATATAATGTGAAATAACTTGAACATATTCTACTTCAAAATTTCCTTTCTTTTCCTTGTAATAAAAGCTAGTATAAAAACTTGTAAGCTATGCAACTCAATAAATTATATAAATAAAATAACAATTTAAATGCAAAATTATAATAAATAATCATATTGAAATCATAATTGAATAAACTTACCATTATTTGTAAATAATAGATAATCATTTTTAGGATTAGCCTTTAAATCCTTTGAAGTTTGTGCACAATATCTATATTAATCTTTTAAGGATTTGATTATACTTTCATAAGAATGTTTCATGGAGCCTAGGTAAACCTGACATTATCATCATTTAACTACATAGATGCCATTTTTGCCTCTATAGGGGTCATTTTTGCCCCACATGCTATGTATGTATCAAAATTGGGGTCCCTGTAGCCCCACCTATAATTGCAGGTATCATACCTAAGGTCCCTTTTGCCTCCCATGCAATTGTAAGTATTATATCATTTTATAGTCAATCTACTAATTTGATATTCAATAAATTTCATATATTTATAATTTCTACTTGTATTATAGGGTTGCTTACTTTCATAACAATATATCTATTATATTATTTGCATGAAGAGAATATGTATACCACATGTAAAGAATTCTACTTATTTTCAACCAGAAAAATCTTTAAATAATCATATTACATTTTATTTTAAAACAGAATAATTTTAATTTCCATGTGGTTGTTCATACATAAATACTTTACTATGAACATACATTCATAGCATTAATCCCTTTTTATAACTATTTCATTGAATTTACATTACATGCTATTGTAAGAGTCTACCAAATAACAACATATACTTATTAATTAAACTTGTATTACTTACCTCCTTGACGAGATGCCTTATCCAATTCTACACCTCTTAATCTTTTCCTTTGATAAATTATCTCAAAACCTCCTTTCTGCAAATATATATTTAAATCCTAAAACACAATTGAGTTTATTTTTCTTTAAAAATTTTATTACTGAATTTAGGAAATCTACAAAATTTTATTACTGAATTTAGAAATTTCTTACCTCTTCCTTCCTTTTATTATTCTTTTCTTCTACTCTTTCTTTCCACTAACAAAAACACCTTCACAAAATCATTGTTCCTTTAATTAGCTTCTATACTCACATCAAACTACAATTCATTATATAAATCCAATTAATTACATTCAAATATTTAGTACAATTTTTCAAATACCTTCAAATTTTATAATGCCACAAATACCTGTACCCAAGCCTTCCTGCATTGCACTAAGCCGAACCTTCCTTGCACTGTGCCGCGTGCTTTCCTTTACTGTGAATTATTACAGTTCTCCCAAAATTTTCCTTCAGCCATTGCCTGTACAGTGCCGAATTCTCCTATTGTTCAAAGTGGCGTGAATTTTACTGTGTTGCACTCCGTTATCACTCCTCACCCTCACTTCTTCCTTCCCGCTGCCTGCTTGCATGAATTTTTCTATCTTCTGCGAATTCCGTTAACGAGTGGAATAAAGACCCACACGTATAAGAACTTTTATTACATCCAGTGCAAGGACGTAGAGGAACGTTCAATCGGAAACAATTTTCCGTCAAAAAATTAGATATTTGCTCGGTACAACTAGGTATTATTTGATAATAATGAGGAATACCGTTCTCTGAAGACCAATACCGCATTATACCGAGCTGTACCGAGAAATACCGAGTTGTACCGAGTTTTTTTGGGAAAAACTCGGTACAACTTTGGTATAACTCGATATTTGCTCGGTAAAGCCCGATATAACTCGGTATTGAGTCTTCAAATGATGGTATTCTTCGTTATTGTTTGGTATTGCTCAGTATTTGCTCGGTACAACTCATTTTTTGGCGGGAATTTGCCTCCGACCGGACGTTCCTCTACGTCCGGTCGGAGGATGTAATAATTGTTCCACGTATAAATGCTCTTCTCACAAATCCATCTGTTTAAAAACACTTATTCATTAATAACTATTTATCAAATTTAATTAAATCCTTTACTTATAATAAATACTAATATTTACTAAACTATTTTACTAATAGTAATTTCTTTTAATACTAATTTAACAACCAATTATCATTAAACTTTAAAATAAGTTTAGTAAAATATAATTATTTAATTTAAATCTTACATACCTGAATTTTTTATTTCTTTTTGGATCTTACACATCAAATTTATAGTATATTTTAACACAGCAATTACAAAAAATAATAAATAAAAAAAAAAAAACATTAAGCAATTGGACATTATGCAAGCTTACTTGAAAAACATTAAACTTACATACTAAAAATCCGACCCAGTTCTGATTAACAACCTGACGAGAAAATCCTATACAGAAATCAGCCTTACCTTTCAGAAAACTCATACAGAAGCCAGCTTCAGCATGAAACACAACAAGCAGCTTCATATAAATACTTGGTTTTTTTCATAAAGAGGATAGTAAAATGCCATCGGACGGAAATATATTTACATTCCCTACAAAAAGTTGAAGAGTAACTCATTCCAAACATCTGGAACTCCTGGCAAGCACCAATGTATGCAATCAGAATAAGATGCTGGATTTTCCAACTGCTTTGGCGAGAAGGTTTCCCAAAACTTCCGGTAAATGGAAGGATGGCCGTCCTTCCGATACTCTGATAGCTGGGTAATGTTGATGACCGTGACTTTGTAATCCAGCTTGCCTAAAATGTTCTCCACCATTTTCATTGTGCTGAGATCAGAGCCACTTCCCCAATAGCTATCGCTGTTAATGGGAGTCTTCTCATTGAAGCAATTCCCTTCACTTCCTGGGTTCCATTCTCTGCTCCTAAATGAATAAATCTCTATATATTTGGTACCAAGATTATCTTTTAAAAGAGCACATATAATTTGAAGTTCTGAAAATTAGGATTTGTTTGGGACAACTTTCTTAATACTTTTTAAAACAGTGTTTTAGTTAAAAAAATTTTTGAATTAGAATTTTTTTACTAAAAAATAGTTTTAGAAAGCAATGAAAAAGCTGTCCCAAACGAAACCTTAAATTACAAAGGGTACACACTGCAGCCTACCACTGCATTGCAAGGAGTTCAATTTTCATAATTTGAAGCATTGATCCATATATCACAAAGGAAGAAGCCTACCCATTTTAATGGGAGTCTTCTCCTTGAAGCCTACCCTTTTCTTCTAACATTCAATGATGACAAAAAGTATTTGACCAACCAATTAAAAATGTCCTGTTTAGACATGCATGTGCGTAAAGTATAGTCACTATATTACCGAATAGCTAGGAACTAGAACAAAGCATACACTGGGAAAGAGATCTTATGAAAGGTAAAAGAGAAGGAAATACGTTTGAATTTACCTCAATAATTTTATCAAGATAAGCATAAAATTAAAAAATAGACAGCTTTAGAATAAATAAATATTGTTTGATTATTTTCTCTCATAAGAATAGGTTCAAAAGTTTATTGCAAATTTCATAAGTTGAAGGAGATTTTATTTTGAATTCATACGCCCTTGAAATACCTATAAATAAATTGAAATTGCACATTTAATTCATCAACTACAAAAGACATGAATGATTCAATTTAACATTTAGGCATATAAACTCAATTTTCTATCATAAGTTCAAGTTGAGATATGGTTGTGGGCTCCGAAAATGCGGCCCCGGCCTCCGCCCGACTGTTATTTTTTCTTTTTAGGGGAGTTTTAACAGAATTAAGTTCCGGGGCAAATTTGGAAGGCAGATGGATTTGTAGATAAGACATTACCCAGAGATTTCGCCCTCATTTTGAGAGGACTTTATGATCTGAGTTCTGGTTTCCTATAGGCGCAAGCCCCTATAGTTAATTGCCCCTCCCGATCATGAGAGAGAACTTTTGATTAAGGCTAGTCGTCGATCACATACGTAGAAAGTACGTGTTATCTGGCATATAATAGCAGCATGGGCATAGGGATGTTAGAAAATTGGAGAATTTGGAAATTTGATATTTAAAATTAGAAATTTCACCATCTCACACTTAAAGCGAATGGTGGGGGAATGGATGATGGACCCGATCAAGATCCCATGGTTCCGTTGTTACGGTCCATCATGGTCCCTGGTCTACTTAGTTAGAGGAGGTAGTCGACCCAACCTGACAGAAGAATCCTTGTCGGCAGCCATGAGTTGCTTTGTCCAAGGGGACCTTGTAGACCTGGGGAAGGTATTTATCTAAGGGGATAAATTTGAATCCACCTTAGCTAGTAGAGGGCTTTGTGCCCTATCAATCATATCCTATTGATTCATATCTCAATGATTTAATGCCACTAAGGAACGTATTAGCTCTGGCCATAACCGATATTTCGTGGTGCCATTTGGCGGCAAAACCATTCAGTTCAGAGGGCCCCGAGTTATAACCATTGATCCTGTGGTGCCATTTGGTGGCAAAATCGCCAGTTAGAGGACACGTAACATCCTTATTTGCAGGAGATTGTTTGAGAATAGATCCTAGTGATATTTTCGACTAGGCATTAACTCTTTGTAAGCTGAAGTACATTTCAATTTGTCCACCTCGATAAACTATTGCGGAGGATAGATGAATTTTGCTTTAAGTTGTTGATAGGTTTAATCTCAATTTTAAATATTTAGATTTTGAGATTTTTGGATTTTTTTGGACTTTTGAATTTTTATGGATATTTGAGTGGAGCTTGGAAGTTATTTGAAAATATTTATGTACCCTCTGGTTGAGATCTCCGTTCAACACGGCCATCATCGGGGTGAAGAATTTCATTCCATTTGATTAAACCTTGTCGACCCTATCAACTTTTCAATAAGGGATCGAGTTTCGTAGGCTTTGTGCCTTTATTAGTGAATTCATATTATTATAGGCCTTGAAGGTCTAATATGAATGTATTAAAACAAATATATCGGTTGTCATAACCGTGTATTTGTTTGATGGTTTGAACCCTATCAACTTATATTAATCCGTATAAAAGGATCGGGTTCAAATCTTGAATTCACTTATTGACCCGCGCAGCATCCCTAGACGTCACGTATGTACCAGTAACATGCTTGCCGAGGCCCTTACGGGTGTTTGGGGGCATTTTATCATTATTTGTTAAACCTTGTCGACTCCTACTTACTTGCTTAGGAGGATTAGGTTTAAATTTATTGACCCGCGCAGCATTCCTAGACGTCAAGTATGTATAAATAATATGTTTGCCGGGGCCCATGTGGGTGTTTGAGGGCATTTTCTAATTATTTATTAAACATTGTTGACTTCTATTTAATTATTTAGGAGGATAAGGTTCAAATTTGTTAACCCGCGTAGCATCCCTAAATATCACGTGTGTACCAATAACATGCTTGCCAGGGCCCATGTGGGTGAATGACTTTACCGATGAATCTTTTTTTATAAAGGGCCTTGAAGGCCAAATATGAATGTATAAAATAAATATGTCGGTCGACCTCACGACCGTATATTTATTTAATGATTCGAACTGTGTCGAGAAGGATCGGGTTCGAACCTAGATTCATCATTTAGCCCGCGCAGCATTATTAGATGTCACGTGTGTACCAAAAACACGCTCGTTAGGGCCCATGCAGGTGAATGATTTTATTTAACCCTTTGTGTACCTATGTGTATATAAATTACAGTGCACGTGAGGGGGCATTCTTGGGATATTTGTGAAACGCCTTCTGTTTGCTTGTATGAATGTTGCGGATCCAGTGACATTTTAATAGCTTCTGGATTGAGTTGTTTGCTGTTTTATACAGGTAGACTATCGTACACTACTTGTTGCTCTCTACAGGTGGGTCATAGTGCACTAACGAATCTCCTGCTTTGAGTTGTAAATGCTTGCATTTATAGGTCTTGGTCGTTACAACACATCCACTACCGCTACACGTAGATGCATTCATTCACAGACTGAAGTTGACTACAAGATACTGCATCTACTGATGTCTTTCTACATCTAGTCATGGGTGGATATTGTACATACATCTGCTTTCGTAAAGAGCTTATATGTATTGTAGATCTTTTAATACCACTCGTAGGCATTTGCATTTGAATTTGATGTGACTGTATTGTATTTTGTTCTTCGATAGTAAATTGGATGCATAAGGATCTTCTACAGTGTTTCGTAGGAGTTCCTATGCTTGCCAAAAAGGTGTATTGTAGTTCATTACATACTCTTAATGTTTCAATCGTGAACATCCCCTTCACTTTCATCACTTACAATCTCAGATGCATTTGCTTATATTTTGATGCTGAGTGACAGTTGACTACGAAGACATTATGACATATGTTGCTTATCACCTACAATAATTGTGTGTGAACTACTATGCATCTCTTAGATCTTTAATTACTATCCATAAATACTTTGCATGTATTATGACGAGCTTTCCATAACTGCTTGTAAATGGCACTGTAGGTATATGTATGTATTCATTGCAAATGTTTAGTATATTCGTAGGTGGTTGAGTGGCATTGAGTTGAAGCATTAGTCCACCCGTTGGTTGTTGTTGATGATGATCCAATTCTCCTTTGTGGCGGCTTCTTCCGCTTGCTTATAGGCATGATGTACTTTTCATATACATGCTAGTTGTGTATCTTTTATTACTACATCCAAACAACTCTATGTGAGTAATGCAACTTCATCACATCGCTAGTTGATTCATGATGGGGGAATGACCTCGATATTATCGTCACTAGGAGATTTGCATTTCAGTTAACATATCCTTCCATAATCAAATTATACTTGAAAGCTCCTTATCCTCCAAGATGGATTGCAATGTATACATACACATGATGAACCTAACATTATTGATCATTAACATTTTTCAATTGGTTAAAGCGACGATTGAAGGTTTTGCATTTTCACTTATGCACATGTCACCACATTCTTCATTTGTTCCTTATTGATGATTGCTTGCAAGTTTATTTTGGAGCTTTGGTCATTACAAGTCTCGTGTTCAAATTTAGGCATTATCCAACTTCTCTTACACTTGGACTTGAAACTTTGTAGTTTCATCAATGACATTATTACACTTGAATGGTTAGGATTCTCTTCTCAAATATTTAGGTTGTGTTAAACGAAAGTTTAGTCCCAATTGTTCCACTCAAGTTTAAGTTTTATGTCCAAGCTCAAGGTGAGTTTAGGTTCATTCATCCTTTTGAGTTCAAAACACAAGTTCAAGTCCAAAGTATATTCAAATAAAGTCCAGGCTCAATATGAGTCTCTTCCGTTCGTCGAGTCCCCTGTTGTCCTTGCAAGTTCAATTTCATATCCAAATTATTCAAGTCATGATTGCTTGAGTTTGAGTTCACTTAAGTTTTTTTCATTCAATCAAGTTCAAGTTGAGTTTGCAATTGATTCAAGTCTTTCATGGTTTATTTTGTGTCCAAATACAAGTCCGAGCTCATTTCTTTTGTTCAAGTCTTTGTTCCTTTTCGGACAAAATTTCGGCAGCCTCCCAGCGTCTCCCTCGTTTAGGGGAAAAACCAAGATGCAACCTTCCCATCGTCGCTACTTGAGCACTTCAGGTAGGTGTCAAATGACACCGCAGTTGCATTTTATTTTTTTATCCCCACCCGCTACATGAGCGTTTAAGGGTCTCGAGCACATATAAGAAAGAAGCACAGTGATTTCCCCATGTATGGATACTTAGTTTTCGTCCCCCTCACGCTACATGAGCGGTCCGGGGATTACCCGTCTCGTTGCAAGCGTCGCACTGATTTCCCTCCATACTATGCTACGTGAGCTCGTAGGGGGTTTGTCGGCTCGCCACAGGCGTCGAGGATGAGATTTTTTTTTGTCTTCGCAAGCGTCGCGTCTGTTTCCCTCCCT